GATGTTTTATTTTCTCTTCCACTTAAGAATTTCTCATAAAGTTGGTAATCCAAAAAAGTGTGATACTATCTCTGATAAATTTTATTCGTCTCTATGCAATTTTAGTAGCCATTCCTGTACTTGTCACATGCTTTGCAGCAAAAAATGTTCGGGGAACCGGTATTGTGGAATGTTTTATTTCGGGCTTTTTAATACTGTAAAACTTTTTTCATCTCGTTATTGTATGTATCGGTCATTATAAATATGAGGTCATTGGTAATTGAGAAGGTAATTATAGAACCACGATTTACAATTTGAAACAGTAACCACTTCTTAATTTCTTGCTAACTTTGTTGAGTGTAATTCAGAACAATTTGCCTGAGCAGCTTTGCTTTTCCTTTACCGGTTACAAGTGTCTACAACTGTAGTTTAAATTGATTCGATAAGTGGGTATGTATTTCATTCCGCCTTTTATTTAGAGCAGACTCTTCCAAATGATATCTCGGTTAAGTGACATTTTATACGTTGCAGTAATAGGCAAATGTTACCAGCGTTACCAGTTGTCTTTGTCATTGAAGTAGGGATCGCAGTTGCTTACTTGGGAAAGTTAACGATCTGCAGTAGTTACAAGATCAAGCTCAGACGAGAACAGCTAAAGTTGCACAGCAATAATTCCTTGCATAACAAAGAGTTTTATGTTTTTTAAAATGAAATGAGGTGGACCGGGTGGAGTCGGTCATTTGACGACTCACAGTATAGTAGCAGAAGATAACGCTTACTGGAAGGTTAAGGGACGATCCTAAACTGTCTCGGGTTTCCAACACAGTAGTAATTTTGTACTATTTCTCTTGTCTCAATTATTACGGTTTTAGGCTTTGGATCTCTATATCCAGGAACTCTTGATTCTGTATTGATGCAGGATGACTGGAAAAAGAGCAGTTAAATTCAGCATTAATTACTATGGAAAATGTTATTTTGATATACAAAACCGTTCTTGTACTGAAACTCCATTAAAACTAGATCTCATATGGTTGAAGAATATAAAAATCGAACCGTATGAAAAATAAGGCAGAAGAAGATAATTAAATATTTGGCAGCAAGTTCAAAAAAAAAAAAATCTTGATAAAAACTTGAAAAATTGTAATGTTTTTTTCTTACTGTTTCACAGCCATTTTGACAAACGTCGATAGTACAGCGTATTCTCACTCGTGATGAATCTCTGAATCTAAATACCCGAATACGTACGCTGAAGCCAGTTTCATCCTCTAAAATCTTGGGGGATATGAGCCACTGTTGTAATTTTGGATTAGTACATCTGAAAAAGCTTTAAGACGGTGATGTTGATGGTTCAATGTTTAACTGCTTGGGTATGATTAAACGCTTCAGTGGCGAAAATTGCTGTAATAACCACTTCTTTTTAGTTCTGTTATGTCTGACTGAAGCACATTTTATATCAGTCATTTTTAGCAGTATTTTTCGCAAATTAGGAAAGTCAAAATGCTGAAAAATGAAAACGTTTTTTTAAATTAAAAGGCTGTAATGTATCTGAGCGTGATATCTGAGTAATGAGATAAAATCTACCCGTCTTTTATCAGTACAAGTGATGCAGATTCGTCCGAAGATTGGCCGGGTTGTTCAGCTATACATTCTTTAATCCTAAAATTTTTCTGTTGCTCATTTTCGTTGATAATTTCCCAGCGTAATTCCACTCGTTCCCCAAGAGTCAAAGTTGTAGCAGGATTTCCGCCGCGAAGGATCAGCAAAACGATGTTGGCAGAACTTAGTTTCATTTGCGCTTTGTTGGTCAGGGGCGTTATGTAATCCGTACTAAAAATGGTTCATTATGGCTGTTAAAAACCTTATCAGATGACGGAATATGAGGTTTCCAGTTAAAATACTTCTATAATCATGAAAGTTTTCTCTATTCTATTCTTCTGCAGTAGGAGTTATTATTATCAAAAATAATTTTATACTTATTAGTGAATTTTGATTATCATTCTCAAAAGTATCTTATATTTCCAACGTTGACTGATGACTGCCTTTTCACCGAAACTACTGCAACAAATGTTGGTACGGTGTACTGGAACAATTAAGAAGAAGCTGTACTTTAAGAAACCAGTGTTAAGATAACACTTTTCTTAAATGTCTCGAATTTTTTTCTTTGCTGCACTTTTGTTCCGCATTCTTTGAGAACAGCTGTTTCTTTACTTACGCATCATCGTCGTCGTTGATAGATGAATAATTACAAGTTATATCGAAGTTTCTTATTTTTGATGGCGGTAGCTCATTGTCTGTTTCATCGCTGACCATTTTGATCCCTACTTTAAACAACCTTATATGCCTGCCCTAAAAATCCCATAAAAACTGAAAAGTTTTAGGTTTATAAAAGTTAACAAATTTAGTACTGTCAAATCAATTGAAAACAAAGTTGTCTTGAATTAGTCTTCAAGCTTAAGAACTCGTTAATATAATTTTTAGCCACCTGACATTTTTTTGAAATAATATTTTTTTCCTTTCAATTGCGAGACTTATGAAATGGCGGTAAGCATTACTTTCGCGGTGAAATTTATGTTCTAATACTGTTAATTTTAGCCAGAAATTTACAATAGAAATCTATTGAAATTCATATAGGTTAAATATCTTAGAGTTTTCCTACAGACTAACCAGCTGAATTCCAGAACACGGTGAATAAAGCTGTGATAAACGGCTGAAGTTTATCTCGTAGTCCGTTGTTGCTTTGTTCTCAAACCATTTTTTGCAGGCACCCGTAGAGTTGTCGCGAATATAAATTATTCCAGATGTTGGCGATGAAAAGACAGCTTGTAGCTTCAGTTTTCCTTTCAAGCACTTCACTTGAACTTCTATGATATAAAGACAAATGTATACCGTCTGTTTAATCAATATACAACTTTAAAATAAACAAAAAAAAGTAACTGTTTTGGAACTAAAACGATGATAATTTTTAATTTTTTTCAATTTTTAGCTGCATCATTTAACCTTTCTAAACAAAAACTTCTGCTAATTTTTTCTATATTAGTTGTAAATATTAAAAATAAAAAGTCGACAACTTTTTCAATACTTTTTTGAACCTTTAAAAGAATGAAGGAAAAGTAGAAAGCCTTACTTACGCTTACAGCATCATTTGCAGTACTGTGTTCTAGTTCACTCGTGGTTTCTGCAACATCATTGGAAGAAAACCATTTCGTTGTAAAAGTACTATACTCATAAGGCGTGTCAGTTCTTTGATCGTGATCGTATTCTGCTATCGTTGTTCGTCTGTAATCCGTCTCAGAAAATGTGTTGTATTCTAACTTCTCTTCAACGCTGTCTGTGAGCTGTTGTCCAGTTGTAGTTGCTGCTAAAGGTATTTGCTATAATAGATAATGTATAAAGTTTTTTCCAAGATTTTTCAATGAATAATTTATTGAATGTATTATACATTACAATTGGATATATACAACGATCGATAGTTTTTCAACCTGAAGTGTAGTTGGTATCAGTGTCTTCAGTGTCAGTAAAGTCAACGTCGCTGGTAGCTAAATCATTTATGTAGCTGTTTTCTACGGTTATTGTAGTTACTGTTGTCGTTGGCGGAGATATTAGAAATGTATCTATTGTACCCAGATGGCTTTCAGAACTTATAAACTGTGGTCTTGGTTTTAATATTGGTCTGCTAGTAATCTGCGTGGTCGGCTGCGCTGTCGTAGTTTCTGTTGCTATATTTTCAGAATCAATTGTATAGTAGTCGCATACATTAGCAAAGTAGTTCACCTAAAACATGGTCTTTATGTGACAATTATTTTCTGGATTTTAAGAAAAAAGTTGGTGCTTCAGTGAGAATCAGAGATGATGAGAAAGCAAATACTACTTTTGAAAACAAAAGATAAAGAGATAATTTACAGGATATTATTACAGGACATATCAGTATTTTTAAACGTTAACCTTATCAGAAATTTCGAAAAATTCTGGATGCTGAATTTGGGCATCGTTTATTAGATAACACCCGTCCTACAAAAAATAATTGTTTGAATTGCTTTTGCAGTTTACAAACGGCCAGTGTAAAACCTGGCTAAAAAGCATATCAGAAATAGCTGACATCTCAGATGCAGTTTACGTAGGTACAGCTGATATAGATCATTTCATGGTCTATTTAGTTGCTACCTCTACTGTTTGGCTTAATCTACAATGAGATGCTTGCTGTCACGTTTGAGTAGCCTTTCTATAATTAACCGTTTTGATTCAATATACATTAGACAAAAATTTTATTTCAAAAACAAAAAGTGACAAAGATATTGTATTCTGAAGGTAAACCGTACTTCTTCACTTTAAAATACCGTACACTAAAGACCTTTTTTGGTTTCTTCTGAAATACCTCACAAATGACTTTATCTTGGATATTCTGTAGAGTAACGCTGAGTACTTACTGCAAATAAGTTTTCATATTTTTGAAGAAAGATAACTGCTTTACTTGCTTGTATGAATAGACTGCTGCGCTGCACTGCCGCTGACGATGAAGGCACTCTTGAAGGCATAGGGAAACGCTGGGAATATCCAGAAGCTGAGCCTAAAAAAGTGAATAAAATGAAACGTAACGGGACTGCCAGTAGCCTGGCACTTATTGTTCCTCGAAACACGTAAGCATACTTTATTTTTGCTTTTGTCTGCAAATCTTGCACAAATTTACTGGCCAATGACCCTATTTTTATTTAGTTAATTGAAAAAATTGTTGATTAAAATAATCTTTCAAATTGTCAAAGGCTGTACCGATGAGAC